ACTTGACTTGACTTGATTGAAATGGTTAAAGTACAGGAAAGAAACAAAGCATACGGCTTCCTCAACAATCATTCTTTATATAGACAGTTTCCTCAACTCACCCAGTCTCTGCTAACTGCCGTAGAGCAGTGAGAGCTTTTTCAACACCTTCAGACAACATCCTTTCATCCTGTAACATCTCTTTGATGACTGAGCTGGGAAGCTCCAGCAACATCCCTGCGGAGTATCCCCAGATAAAAGGGAATCAAAACATATAATTGTTTTTGTCCATCAATGCGATCTCTTGCACCTTTTCTGAGGTCACCAGGAGCCCCACAACTAGTGTGGTAAGTATTAAATGAGAAAAAAAAAAACACTTCATGATTCTTAAAATGTTATTTTGTTCCAAACTAAAATATAGTTCCTCGTGTCTCCTAACTGCTGTCTCCCCTGAATTTCTATATAATACAAACAAAATGTAGTCATGTTTTTTAAAGAATACATTATAATAGGTTTATCTTGTACACTTTATTTAGTGTTAATAAGCACTAAATAGCACTAAAGCACTAAACAGCATGATGCAAGATAAGACAGTTTTCCGTAGCTCACCTGTTAGCTTTCCAGCCATTTCAGTATGTCTTGGGTAAAGGAGAGTATAGAGCTTTTCCCCAAGCAGGTCAAGCTCTTCTTCATCATCCTCCATCAGCAGCAGAAGTAAATAGCCGGACCCAATAGATTAGTTCACAGGTTCTTGTGACATCTGGATTTTCTTGTGAAATTGGGCACATATGACATTTTCTAATTGTTTTGTATTCTGGAAAAACAAAACAGGAACAAATATTAGCACGCTAATTATAGTAATATATGTGTCTTTTCTTGGCGCTGGCTTAGAAGTTTTTTTAGAACTTCTTCATATCCAGACTAATGCAGTATCCAGACTAACATGCACTAGGCATCTCACACGACGAAAGGAGAACACGACTGCATGTACTGTTACATATTTGAGTAAGTATTCTACGTCGACGTTTCCACTAAATATAATTCCTCACAAGTATGCGGAATTGGTGTTTCATGCACAGGATCATTACATATTAAATCATGATTTAAATCTCACATTTTCTATTGTGTCTGGACATATAATATAGTCACATTCTAAATTCCGACGTCGTGATTTCACTCCGTTTTAACAATCTACGGTGCCCTATTAACCACACAAAAACTTGTACTCAACTCATTAATAGTTTTCGTCTGGATCCAACTTACTAAAGTCGTTCTACTTCAATGGCAGAGTAAGTCTCAGTGTTTTGGCTGTTGTTTTTCATCATGACATCTTAAGTCTGTAAAGGTAAACGGGTCGACTCTGCATCTACAGTTGATCCAACACTATTATAATGATGTGCATCTTGTTATTTTTGCATTGCTTGTTAAATGTTTAATTCGGTTATTCTTGACACTGGAGTCTTCTACTAATGGAAGTAATATCCGCGCAGATTGATGACGTAATACACACGTCTGAAAATGACGGTTCTTTTGCAGCCGCATCACACCTTTTGCCATGAACAGTATCCTTCCGAGTAAGCGCTGTGAAAATATAAAAAAGACACAGCTATTGTTATAATTTTTTATATTTTTGTGTGTAAATATATATTTTATTAATTTTATTTTTAAAATTTGTGTTCTTTATTTCGGAAGAAAAACCAAAATTATATTTCCGTACTTCCTAACTCGTAGTAAGCGAGGAGTGATATGTGAAAAGGCTAATGTGACCAGGCTTCCTTCCTTTCCTTCTCTCTTCTGCCGCTGAAGGTAACGTGGTTGCATTTCTGCTGGTTTTTATAAGTTGAATTTGGTGATATTTTAGAGTTCTATCTGTATTCTTATAAACAGATTCCCGATGAAAGAGTATTAACTACATCCCTTGGCCTTAAAACCTCTCGAGTACCTTGAAGTTGTCATTTAAATACAAATTATAGCATTAACTATGTATGTTTTCAGGCCTGTAACTGCTAGGCCTCCGGTAAAATACACATCTATACATACAGTAAATCATGTTTGTTTGGGAATAAAAAACTTGTTTTTGTCTTATAACTTTTTGTTGCACGGAATGATCCCTCTTGTATTTTATATGTTAATTCCATTTAGGATTAATATTTTCTGAGCATGCTTTCCATCTTTGCTAGGCGCCCTGACTTGACATAAGTATGATTGGACATCTGCACATCAGCCGAGTCAGAATCTTAAGCACATTATGAACGAAAGTTGGCCGTAGTTTGGTGTTAAAAAGCGTTACAACAATACAGCTCCTGATTTTCTTAGTATGTTGAGTACTCAAGTTAGACGTGCTTTTTTGTTCCCAGAGCTGATAAAAAAAATGAATATTTAATTTCGTTGACAGTAGAATGCATATCGTACAGTCTTTTATTGTGCGCTGTATATGTCTCAACTTCTCAAATGTATAAATCGTGAGCCTGCTTGGCGCTTGGGGATGATCACACCGTAGCCACTGGTCATTTTCATGTTTAGACTAAATAACGCTCAGATCGGTAAAGCGTGCCGACCTAAGTCTTCTCCCTTTCTCCTCTTTGCTGTGCAGGTGTGTAAAAATGTCTGCTCATCTGCAGTGGATGGTAATCCGTAACTGCTCCAGCTTCCTCCTCAAGAGGAACGGGCAGACCTACAGCACGGTAAGTCGCATTTCTCGTATTCAGGCGATTCAAACGCGATGATTCGGAGTTTCATTTTAAAAAGTGCTAATCGTATTTTTGCCTTCCACGGTTTTGCTTATAGTCGTGCCTGCTTGATTCTGTAATGCCCAAGAACTGTTTACTGTAACACTCTTTGCTCATGTCTGGTGTGTATATATTTTATTTAGGAACCCAACAACCTTAAGTCCAGGAACTCTTTCCGCTTCAATGGACTTGTCCACAGAAAGACTGTGGGCGTTGAGCCAGCAGCGGACGGAAAGGGAATTGTTGTTGTCCTTAAGAAACGTGCAGGTATAATATTTTGATTCCCTCTTTAATCTAAACTATCACAAAATGTGCCTCTTAGCAAAGGCCTGATTTTAAAAAGAGAGTTTAAAGGCCTGGTGATTTTTACTGTCATTATTATCGTTAATTTAGTCCTTTATTGACTGAAATATCGAATTATAGAAAGGCAGAATGTATTTGTAATATTTATATAGCTGGTAATGGGCATTTTGTGTGGTTAACTCTGGTCTTCGAACCAAAAAATTAAAAATGTCCTGCGTGTTTACTGATTTGGAATGCCGTGCAAACATTTCACTTTGTTTTGGTTTCCTTTTTCTTGAAAAGATGCCACTTTCTCCTGAGTCTTAAGATTTCATAACCTAGAGCAAGAATAGTTCAGCTGCCGGATCGCTCCTGATTCCCGCAGATCTGATGTGTGAGCTGGCTGTTTGAGAGAGACGCCGGCCGGCGTGTATTTTAACTGCAGGGGGCTTTTTTTTCCCTGCAGGCCAGCGCAAACCCGCCACATCTTACGAGAAGATCACCGTCAACAAGAACTCGCGCGCAACTCTGAGCAGCCTGCGTCATATCATCCGCAAGAACAAGTACAGGAAGGATCTCCGCATGGTACGTGTTCCAGTCTCCCTCCCTCGCGCGCAGCAGCCCAAATTTTCGCATCCAGTTTTAGTTCAGTCAGAGCACTGGTGGAACATTTAAAGAGAGGGCTTTGCACATTGTAATCTTGCCTGTCCTGTATGATGTGATTTATTTTTGCATATGTCTGTACTGCTGGCGTTTTTCCCTCTACTTCAGATTTAGATCATTTCCATTGTAGGACGCCTTTAGCTTTTGTCTGTACAAAGTTGGCCTTAGCTGGGACAACAATAAAATCAGGAAATGTTACCGTTCGGCGTTTTTATTCTATCTACAAAAATGAAAACGTATTTAGATTCTGCAAAAGGAAGTACCACGATTTGCCAGCACATTAGTACAGGGTAAAGAAAAACCCCACCAGAATCTGCATAAAGGCTAACATCAAGTATTTAGTCTGGATTCTGAAGATTAAACCCTGAAGAAAGGGCAGCTTCTAATCTAACACATAAAGGATGCTGTGGCTGGTGTGCTAAGAGAAAAACTCATTCAATTTGATAATTATCAAATAATTTAACTTTTAGAATTAAAAAAAACTGATGTTGGATTATCTTAATTGATTAAAAATACATTTTGGAACAAACATTTTGATAGGGTGTTTTAGTAACCAGAAGCTCTCCGAGTGCCTTCCAAACAACTGGTTTATAACAAACTGAAAAGGTAGAGAACTGGTCCTAAAGTACACACTTGGAAGGTTACTTTCAGATGTTGTTTGGTGCACTCTTTACTTGATTATACTCAAGGGTGCGCCAGGTTAAAATGTTGGCAGGTGAATATTTTTAATGAATTGCCTGTTCTTTCCCTGTAGGCTGCTCTGCGCCGTGCCAGCGCTCTCCTGAGGAGCCAGAAGCCAGTTGTTGTGAAGAAGAAGCGCACCAGAGCTGCCAAGACCGCATAAAGACTCAGTAGAAAAAGTCAATAAACATTTGTTAAAATATAATGAGGTCCTGGTGTCTGATTATACAGCAAGAAATCACTTTCATGTTCTTAAAAACACAATGCTTTTGGTTACAATACTCATCTGTTGTTTTAATGCCTATCAGTATATTACTGTCTGTATTCCTTTATTTGCAAGAGGATATGGCATATAGTGCATTATCGATTCAATTGTGACCAGTCTTCTGATATGATGTGGAAGAAGCAAGCTCTTCCTTTCCCCTTTTTAACCCTGACCCTGAAATTAACATCTGTAAGCAGTGGGTAAAATCATTTTTAAGAATGTTCTGCAGCCATAGTTTGGTTCGGGAATCGGGTAATCTGGAGATGATCTAGAACATTTTACTGACTTAGAAATATTTGAAATGTTTCAGGTTGAATGCAGTATTTATATGAGATTGTCGGATTAAATCAAAGCACTCAACATCTTGTTAAATGGCATTAAAACCTGACTTTCCCTGGCAGCGAGGTGCTTAACGTGACCTGTTTATATAGATATTTTACCAAATCACCTCTTTTTGTCCTCAACCCAGAAACCTTAATGCACAAAGCGATTGTTTCAGTCTGTCATTTAATGATGTTGTAGTACAGTGCCTTAGGAGATAATGATGGTGGATACCGTAATAGGTCTTGGCTAATTAAACTTGTCGAGCTAGTTTATTGATTACTAATATAGAAAGTGTGTTAACCTTAATAACCTTAATTATATGAAAATTAGCTATGACATCTGTTTGAAAAGTGAGAAAATAATGTCTCCTGATTAATTATCTAGTACAGAATTAAGTGGTCCTTCCTGCAACTAAAATATGTAGAATGTCTGTCGAAGAGGTGTATTGTTTTATACAAGGTTAATGAAGGTAATTTGACATTTGCTAATGGTAAGGTCATATGTAACCCTTTATAAAATCACCCAAAAGAACAAAATCTTTTCTTTTTTTTTTAATCTCGTTGCTGTGATAATGGAGTCGGGCACAAATCGTTGGCTGGTTACGCCGTGGTCGGAGTCTTTGAAGCGAAAGAATCGGATTGATCTGCAAAAATAGCTTGCTGGCCCTGTTTTTCCGTCACCTCTGGCGTCAAAAACTCAGATTTGCCACTGTGTTATAATAGTGAATTGTAGCCTTCCCTTCTACTGAAAACAGAAATACGGAATTTGGTCATTGGCAAAGGGAGCTCTGTGTTTGCTGTTTGACCGATTCAGGATTTACATTTTTATTTTATTCCATTTTAACAATGGAATTTCAAGCGTCCGATATAACCTATTAAAGACCCGGTTTTTAAATGGACGGGAGGGTCTGCAACAGAATGTCCCTTATACAAGTTGTGTTTCTCGTGTGTGCGATTTCAACATTTCCTAAAATCAGCGTGACGTTTGAGCTCCACGACACAATCAATGCCTTGAGAGAAGAAAACGTTTATCTGCATGACAAAGTCGAAAACTTGACGGAGGCTCTTCGGGAGCTGAAACAGTTGTTCTGGAGCCATTCTAAAGGTGAGCGCACAAGTGTGTTGAAGTACCTTCTCTCTTTGTAAATGTGTGGTTCTTAGTTTTAAGCAAATCGTTAACGCTGAGAAGACAAGATCGGGCGTACTGACTAATCAACCGACCTAAACCTTATTTTAGAGGGAGTTGTTTTTCTTGGTGAACGTAATGTGATTATTCAGATTTTAAAAAAGTGATATACTAGCGCCCAGAGGTGTTTAGAAATGTAGCATAGGACCATGTATTGTATAGCTTTTAATTATGCAAAGTCATTAACACGTATTTGACAAGATGCGACATTAACAGTTTTTGTCAAAAACCTCAATTTAAGCGAATAAGTGATAAATTATAATTTTATAAGCGGTGGATGTGTTCTTAATAATAGTGTTGGATGATTATGAAATGTTAGGTTATTGTTATTGTTGCATGGTTAAAATGTAATCTGTTAGGTACAAGTTTTAAATTGCGAGTTTCTGATATTTCTATGTCAAAATGGACTTCAGTCATTCTAAAAAATTTTAGGAAATCCTTTTGCTGTAAACTGAATGCATCTGCAGTGGTTTCCGTGTTTACATGACAGTAGTATCATATTTTTGCGCTAATTGTTTCCATACTTCATGATGCAAATTTGAATGTGTTTTTTCTTGTGAACAGACTCGGGGAGTCTTCACTGGAACACAGACTTGCAACATTTATGGGATCAATGGACTGAAAATGGTAATTTGCTTTACTAGTTATTTGCATGGTGTATTGCCGTGGAAGAAAGATTTGAGGCCGAGTAGATCTAAATTAGACCTCGGAGAGTGGATAAGAGTTCTTAGATGTACTTTTGATAGATCAGCTTTGCTACAAACACCATCGTAAGCTTAAAAAGACATTGAATTTTGTTTACCGGCTGCAATTATGGATTCTGAAGATGAGAAGAGCAAAGTCATCCTAACACAGAGCATGAGACAATGAGAAGCCCATAAATGGTACTATACTGCTAAATGATCAAAGATGCGAAGACCTTACTCTTCCGTCTGCCAGGCAGACTCTCAAGTGCATGAGTAGGGAATATAACCTCCTCGGAGTTCAAGCACTCTGCTCTGTCGCTTGTGAAGCAGCAGCTGTCCTCAGAGTAATAGTTATTAGGCCATTGAGAGGGGCTAATGGAAGGGCAGGAACAAATACGTGCATTTTCTGAAGAGGAAGTATGGGACCAACATGGCAAAAAAAAAGTAGGCCAGGCAAGACTTGTTTTTGAATTTTTTTGCGATCACCCCCTTTGTGTTCATCCTCCAAAAGGACACAACTAAGCCGAGTGACTTAACCCTGAGTAGGCTGTTGTGCAACAGCTCAAACCCAACAACCCCCCCCCCACACACCTTAAAATGTAAACTACTTTATATGCAACTACGTTTTATATATCAGGATTTATATATGCAATATTGTTATTTAATTTGATGTAAAACTTTAGTAAACCCAAACATTAGTATTAGCAGGCGCTACAGGGGCTGTGGCTGGACATGTTTAATCTTTTCAAATGTTAAACAACATCCTCAACTTCATGCCTCCCCTGCTGATGAAAACAAAGGCGCTTTTAAACCGCGGCAATTTGGCATGTTTAACCACAATAATTACACTTAAACATTTTTTATCCCAAAGGATCCCAATATGTTTTACATCTACTGTAGGGCAAGACACAATTCATCCACTACAGAAGAGCATCACCCACCTGAATGATGCCCCAGAGCTACTTGCCTACTTTAGTGTCTCAGATGGGACATTTGCTTTTGACACATACACGCATAAAGTGGGAAAAACAAGCAGATTAAATCATCTTTAGGTAAAGCTGTTATGTGCCTGTTTCTCCATCTTACAGGTCAGATGGGGGAGTGGGAAATCACGTCACCAATTCGATTAAGAACAGAATTTAGATAAACCAGTCACTGCAAGCCCACAGAGGAATTTAGTCAGAACAGCAGGGTTAAGTCAACGCCTCTGCTCTTATGAACATGTGCCATGGGATCTGATTTAATTTAAAAAAAAAGCTTGGATAAGTTAACTACTCAATACCAAACGTCCTGTCATTTGCAGTCTTTCTTGTGTTCTTATCTTTATTGACCAGCACAGTGTCCCCCTGTCACCATATTAGGGTATTCCAGTCCCTTGGAAAGTGGCCACCTCCCCATATGCCAAATTAGCCCAAAACCAAATTGCATTAAAAGCATCAGATCTCAGGAGGTAAGCAATGTTAGCTCATTACTTGGGTGGGACACCTCAAGGAGAGCCATGAGTGGTGTTGAGATCGTTTAAAAATTAAAAAGTGCAATGTACATCAAATGTCTAGAAACATCGGTCACAGGTTAATCTAGGGTTCTTACTATAGCTTAGACCTTGAGTATAAGCCATACACTAGGCCTCTACTGTATAAACATCCAGAGCTGTTACAAAATGTTTGAGGGAGGACATCATTCCAGGGAGACATTGTCTCTGCAGGTCTGACGTACTCTAAAGTTCAATGGCTGTTGAGCCAGGCATGTGTAGTAGCAGCTAGAAAATAATCGAAATGATTGTAGTAAGAAAATGCTTTGACAAAATCACAAGATTCCAGGCAGGAACTGTGTCTTCAAGTACTCACTGAAATAATACACGTGTTCCCCTAAAACCGAGCTAGCCAAACGGAAGATACCGTTTTCTTTCAGTTGCATCTGATATTTTGTTAATTTGGGCACAGGGAGGGCACAGTAACTACAGGCTGTCTGATCTTTTTTTTTTTTTTACAGGGATAAACTCCAACACGCATCAGCTTCTCCAGCACACCTTCTGTAGCCAGGACACTCACACTGGAGCTGGAACCTCAGCCTGGCCACACCCCCTCCTCGTTATAGGCTCCTTGATATATATTTGCTTGCTGTTATTCTGATATTTACTCCTATTAGCTCAATATTTGAGGTTGATTCAATGCTATTTAGCATTAAGCAAAGTTTAAGAGTACTAGGCATTAATAGCTGTGTAAGTGCTTTCTCAGTTTTAAATTTCTGGTTGTTTTTCTCCTTTCACCACCAAAAGTTCGATTTCCATTTCCATGTCTTTTGTCTAATGATCTAATGACTAATGATGAGTTCTCCATAAGTTTTTTTTTTATGCTTAATGTATCTAATGCATCTTCTCATTACCTTGAGAATCTAACATTAGTTTTGTTTAGCATGCATGGTTTACATCTCTCCTGATTGTTACACAATGATTCTTCAGTATTCTGATGATGACCTATAAAAATAAATCTGAATATATTGTGTACCTTTAAGATTGTACTTTTATTTTTAAATCACACAAACTGCAACATCAGCCAAGTTTAAATTCAAACTGCATTCAACCCATTAGTCAATCAATCAAAGTTTATTTATCAAATGCACAACAATACAGCGTGCAGCAGTAATAATTAATAATAATAATTGCTTACACTTATATAGCGCGTTTCTGGACACTCCACTCAAAGCGCTTTACAGGTAATGGGGACTCCCCTCCACCACCACCAATGTGCAGCATCCACCATGCGATGGCAGCCATAGTGCACCAGTATGCTCACCCCACATCAGCTCTCAGTGGGGAGGAGAGCAGAGCAATGAAGCCAAATCATAGATGGGGATTATTAGGAGGCCATGATTGGTAAGGGCCAATAGTAGGCCAGGACACCAGGGGAACACCCTGGGATTTTTAACAACCACAGAGAGTCAGGACCTCGGTTTTACATCTCAGCCAAAGGACGGCACCTGTTTACAGTATAGTGTCCTCATCACTATACTGCAGGATGAGCGCCCCCCTGCTGGCTCCACTAACACCTCTTCCAGCAGCAACCTTAGTTTTCCCCAGGAGGTCTCCCATCCAGGTACTGGCCAGGCTCACACCTGCTGAGCTCCAGTGGCTGCCAGTTGTGAGTTGCAGAGTGATATGGCTGCTGGCTACAGTAGTTGCTGCCAATGAGATGTCTTTTCTACGAGCTCACCAGGGGTGGGGGGGTAAAATAAGAAGCTCATTAACAACTTAAAATTACATAATAGATATAGAGCAATAGAAATTAAATAAAATAAACTCAATATAAATAGAGCTGCTATGTGTCCAGGGTGTATGCAATACATTGTCACATACTGTAAATTTGGGTATGGAAAAGAGCTCGCAGAACACAGAAGCACTCGTTTTGCAATTAGTATTTCTGTTATAAACAAAACATTGTGTGAGATTAAACCCACCTGTTACATTTTCTCTAAGCAGACTTTGGAAAATTGCTTTCATGATCTGATCAGTGGTTGGCTGTGGCATTTTCTGTATGTTCTTATGTTGGAAGTAAGCAGTTTGCAAATCTACACATACGTTGACAAATACGTGTAAACAAAACGTATTGCAGAAATTAGTCAAGGCTATGCGTCGCGTACAGAGCACAACACAACTATTACTATTTGTAACTGACAAAATGTTTACCTAGCAAACAAACATGCAACGAGAGTGTGTTAATACACCCACATGTCAGGAACATTCATTGCTGAGGAACTGATCAAAATAAGAATCCAACTTATTTTTAAATTAGTTTATAACTGGCCACCAGGGGGAAGTATTAACAAAGTACTGTAATGTTATTAAAGTCTTCAACACAATATCCCAAACGGTTCACAGATCAATTGGGAAAAAATAAGTTTAAAAAAGGACATTATAAAATCAAACATCAGAATCAAGGATGACCGTATAATGAATTCCAAACAGGTTAAAAAAAAGAAAGGCCAAGAGAGAAATTGAAAGGAATATTGCAGTAGAGAAAAACATATTTAATGCAATGCAACAGAAAATGCTGATCAAGCAAAATATATTTGTGACATTAATAGAGATTTCTAGACAATGAGAAGGAATTAGATTGCGTACTTAATAAACGAGTAGTAAACTCAGGTAGATGTCAACAACATTTACAACAGTCACAGAAAGAAGAGATGTTATTCAGAAGCCACTGATGCAACCCTTCAGTCACTTAAGACAGGGGTCATACCCAAGGACTGGAGAATTGTGTATATAGTAGCTATCCATAAGAAAGGTGAGAAAGCTCCATCAAGTAATTATTAGACTAGATCAGTATTAGAACTAAAGGATGAGCTAAATAAAAATATCCTAGAAAAAGAGATCAAATTGATTTTTTAAAAATCCTTCCTTGTGCCTAAGATAGGCGCAGACTTCCCCACAAACTGGATAAAGTAGAAAATGGATGAATGTATTTAGAAAAGGTAGGTCCTGCCTAGCTTAAGAGTTCTCAGAACAAGCCACAACAGTAATAAAATGGAATAAATGTGAAGAAGTAATAAAATGGACACACCTGAATAAAGTTCCACAGTCAAAACCTCTTTTCTTTTCCTTTCAGCATAGAATAAACGTTTACCTGTTCCTTCAGGCTACGCTTGCTGTTGATGGTCACTACTCGAACAACAGTAGCAAATGCACACAGAGAATGTGACATTGCAGATTATCAGAAGGCTTTTGATTAAGTTCCCTATGGAAGAGTAAGTCACAATTCACAAATTCCAGAAAGAAGGCTTCCCAGGAGATCATTTGGATTGAGAACTAGTTAATAAGGGAAAAAAAGCACAGCTAAATGGAAACCTTCAGTCCATTTTAAACAGTACCTTCACCGATTGCAGACCAATTACACAATAGAAAAACATGTCGCTATTGCCTGAGGAAAACAAAATCCTTTTGAAAACAAAACCTAAGCAAGAAAGCCTTCAATTTGGAAGTTACATTACCCGAATGAGTCAGTGGTCACAGGTGTTCTGAACAGAAATAACGTTAAGGAGCATGACAGGCTCTATACTGTAGGCACAACAGCATAAAGGAGAAAACACTAAATGAGCTTTCTGCTGACCGTTGGCCATTTCAATACAAACCAATTTAAATATAGCAGCTGATCGTTTTTTTTTACTTACACTGGTCTTACTCCAGTGCAGCTCAGATGGTAAGGGCGTCTAGCTCCTGACCGGAAGGTCCCGGGTTCAATCCCAGGTAGGGGCAAGCGATGTAGCTTTCTCCAATTCCTTCCAGACCACTCCCAGGTTCCTTTCCAAATGAGTGCTTGGGGGTTAATCCTTCCGGGGGTAATAGGCCAGCTGGAGTGTGATATTGACCACATCACCTCAACCTCCAGTGTCGGATGGCCAAGAAAAATGGTGGCCCTTGCCCCCCATTCCCCATGGGCCTTGATGGCCTGAAAAGGGGACCTAACCTACCTACTGGTCTTACTCTTACACTGTTTGGCTGATAGTCTTATCAAAGTGACGTACATTTCAACCCATTTATACAGCTCAATGCATGCTTAGAAATATTTCAACACACACAGGAAGCTGGGTCTCTGAAAAAGATTTATAAACGTTCTTTTCATGACACAACTCTTTTATGTATTTTGAAATATCAGAGGGACAAGCAAAAAAAAAAAAACAGGCTTGATCAACTTTTTTATTTACAGCTAGTTTCCAGGATCTTGGATCAGTTCAATATACAAAAAGGTTAAAAAAAAACTAAGAAAAAAATCATTTCAGAATGTTTGACAGCTTTCTTAGCTATAGCTACTAACTATGAGGTTTTCTTTTCATCTAGATGCTCATTTATTCCACATGCTCACACAAAAATCTAAGAATTTCATCTACACTAAAGGTTTAGAGCTATTATAAACAATAAGTGCTACTTTTCAAAAGCAGTACGTACGCAGAACCTTATCTAGAACAACCCAACAAAACAAATATTTTTCATTCTTTTCAACAAATACTTTCCAGCATATTTACATATACTGGCTAAAGCAACTTGAGTCAAACACAACGGTACAATTTCCACGGTGAATGTTTTCACTCTTTGCCATTTTGGCTCTTTGTGTTCGGAATTCTTTCCCATCAACTGTTGAAGGATGAAGGCTGTGGCTGAATCTGAAATATTTCATCCACCATAAATATAAAAACAATCATCTTCTTCATGAAAGAGAAAAGAAAATGGAATTTCAACATTGTGGTGCAGTCCTTAATAATAATATACCCACTAACCCGCAAATGAAGCCACACTATAAATGAGCTTGTTATAAGTCCAGAATACAGTCTCTTCTGAAAATCTTTCATTGGTATTCCTTTGAACACATCCAACCATGAATTAAACACAAGGCAGTCTGCTAGCCTTTTACTCAAACTCAGAAGTTGTGTAGGAACTATACAAGAAAAAGAAATGGCCGAGATCTAAAATTCTGACAAATTAAAAAAAGATAGGATTTTTTTTGAATTCTCTGTATATATAATAAGTTGAATTTCAAAACATTGTTTTAAAGAACCAGTTGTAAATGATCTCAAATTTAACTGTGGCAAAATAAACCAAATAGGTGCATCAAATGCAGAAGTGGCAGTCACTTTTGTTGGCAATGCCAGTGAGATTAAATTAAAAGCAAAAAAAAGATTTGATTCTATAATCTACAAAGAAAATAATTTAACAAAGTATAGCAGCATTAACAACCAGCACTTATTCCAAAGTGATACAGCAGTGTGAAGTATTTTCAGGAGGAAGTGTAGAATAAACATTTTACAGTATTCAAAGCAGCTTTCAAACAAAAACCTGTATAGAAATAAGGGAAAGCAAACAAACAGGTCAAAGATCCGGGAAATACTCAAGAAGAGTTTCGGCTTTACACAAGTAGAAGTAACAGAATCCTAAATGAGACTACGCTGTGCAGGAAAACTACGCTGTTTTTTTTTTCTCTGTAAAAAAAAAAAGTTTCATCCTCTGCAGGAACTAATCGATTTCCAGATCGCTGTCCTCGTCGCTGCCTCCGCGACACGTAACGGCCGCGTTACGGATGGACGTCGGGATGATGGCGTGCTTATCCGGCAGGAGGCTGTACTCCTGCAGGAACGCCTCCACGTCCACCGCGAAGAAGTCTTCGCCCAGCTGGTCCGTGATCCGCACAAAGTTGCCGATCAGATCCCCGGCCTTGTAGACCAGGAGCGCGGGCAGAGCGTTCCTGGTGAACCTGGCGCTGGCCCCGATGACGGAACTCTTCACCCGGCAGAACTTGACGAGGGGGTACTCGGCAGCCAGGCAGATCATGCTCCCCGTCATGGCCTCGCAGGCCGGGAGGTCCTCTTCGTAGATGTGGATCATCACCAGCGTGCTCTTCTCCTCCTTATCCACCGTTTCCAAGAACTCCTCGGCGCTGGCGAGCTCGAAGACGCTCTCGAAGCGCTTGCCCGTGTACAGCTGCCTCCTCATCTCTTCCATCCTCTGCTTCCTGTACTGCTGAAGGAAGTCTTCATCGTCGCCTTGCTCCTGAAGCATGTTGTACTCCTGAAGGGTCATCTGCAAGACCAAAAAAGGAACCGAGACATTTGCTGCAATCCGTACTCCAATGTACGGGTGGATAGCAAATTGTGATGCAAAGTGACTTTCTATCAAAAGTCAATCTGCCCAATTATTTTCCAACTACGCTCCAAATCAAGTTGCTTGTGCTACATCAGCTAAACCTTTGTTTAACACATGGTGGAGGCACATGAGTACCTCCACAAGCAGGGCTCTTAATGGAGACTGAGGCTGAGGGCCCAGATATCTCTGGTTTGAGCCTGGGTCATCTCATCACGATTCCCCAAGTGGCTGCAACACAATAGGCAGAGCGCCACCAAGTGTTGGTTAGTTTTCTCTCTTTCGTGCAACAGATACGCTTGCCACATTCTCGGAGCTTGCAGTGGCAAGAGGGAGAGGTGCAAATCTTTCTGTCCATCGGCTCCCAACTCTGTTGTAGGTCAGCGGGCTGTGCCTCCCGAATAGTCAGAAAGCGAACAGCTTTGACATATCGCTTCCCACCATTCATTCCCACACAGAATCACTTCCCAGTGGACATCCCCATTGAATATGTATGAAGTAAACTTACCTGTAAAGCAAACATGACACATCTTTACAGAAATCTATATGCTGCATTGAATCATAACCAGGGTACAGTAGAATAGGTGTAAGAGCTCTAAATTCCTGACTAGGGGTGTGATGGAAGGGCAAGTCTGTAGTTCCTCTTTCTCCCTGTGCAGGAACTGGACAGAATGGACCCAACTGGACACAATCACTGACCGCAGGCCGATCCGCCACCTCACCTTGCCGTTGATCTTCTCTTGCAGCTCCTTCTGCTTCTCCTGGTCACTCCCCTCATCCAGCTGCGAGCGGCAGGTCAAGGACAGCTTCTTGATCAGCCTCTCCATCTCGCGCCGCTGCTCCTGCCGCTGCTCGTTCTCCAGCTGCTTGTACTTGCGCCAGTCGTTGATGACGCCCTTGGGCCCTGCGGAGTCGCAGTCGGCGATCAGCCGCAAAGACTCGGCCCTGCTTTTGTTTACCATCACACCTCACTGACAAACACTTTTTTACACACAGATCCCTAAATCACTCCCCAGCGTTCTTTCCCACAGAATATGTATGTGGTAAACCTACCAGTGACGTAAAAAAGACACATTTTCCCATAAATATACATACAGCATTAAATCACAGTAGAATAGCAGAACGAGCTCTAAATTACTGAGGGTTCTGAGTCTAAGATACCCCTTTGAATGCCACTGGTGTATCCTTCTTCAATTGCTGCTGTCGACACAGCTGTATAAACAAAGCAAGATAAGATACCAGCATCCTATACACAGAGTAAATGTAAAGTACGTTATCAGACTAACGGAGAACAGGTCCGAATTTCTCAGGTTTTGATTATCATATAACACTCAAGCACACTACAGGTTCGCAGAAGTCCTGCCGAGTTTAGGTCAAATATAAAGTTAAACGGGGCTTGAGTGTGAAATACTGCAGCTCTTCAAGAAAGAGCCCCAGCAGCTTGGCTTCCATTCACACCGAGCTCTGGTACGCTGCCTCCCAGCATCACAATTACCGGTGTTCACAGCACTGCCGTCTTGGCTGTACTCGAGGTCCGCGTCCAGCACGTCCGGATTCCGGATGGTCTTCTCCTCGGTGCCCTCTTCCTCCTTGTCGCTGTCCTCATCCTCGCTGCTGCTGTAGTAGTACTGCAGCTTCTCCCCCAGAAGTTTGTCGTCCAAGGTTGTCATCACGACCTGCCTCTGAAAGAAACCACAGAACGCAAGCTAACCTCAAGAGCTCTTACCCGTGCATGCAGCCTCCCTAATAGCTTTGGCATAAGGTGCTCCAATGACTTAATGACTTCAAATTGGGAGTCTAAATTAGACCCATCTACTCATAATGGAGAAGTTAATGACTGAGCCATTCACAGCACCCCTTTACTATAATGCATCCATCACCTCTGATTGCATGCTTTCTCTCAAGTACTCCAGAATTAGCCCAAGCTGATGTCTAACAAGTTTATAGTGCTATAGCCATCTGTACAGTAAATCAGAGCAACCAAAATATTTATCTCTTACCTCACAGGTCTTCGTAAAGCAGACCCATTATTGTTTTCCGGTTTATGAAACAGTTGTAAGCAAATTCTAAAGTCTGCACATTCGAGTTCAAAAGGCATAGTCTTTTCAGCCAGCTAGAAAGGTTGAATACCCAAAAGAACACAATGAAAGCCCAGAGTACTCTGGTTCTAATGAGGGGAATAATCTAAGACAAGCTGGATCGACACTACTGCAAAGTAAGTTCAGGACAGAAAGAATATTTAATTGTATTTGACTGACAAACACTTCTACCCTCAACAGAGGAAAAATGACATCCCATTTAAAAGCATAGCGAGGGTGGCATATTTAAAACCTTGTTCAGCTTCAAGTACAAAAGTATTATTAAAGCAATTGTATCGCCACTAATCATTTGGGCATTTCTTAAGCCTGCTGTGGATTATGCACATATCACTGCATGAGATACGGTTCAATACTCACACTGCGGGCTCTTGTTAGATTAATTGCCTGATTTTCATTATTTCAGTTTGGAGCTTTTGTATATAAACCCCACTCATACACCTACAGATACATACAAGTGAAAGCAGAAGAGTCCTCGATCTACAGGTCAGTACAAAAGAATTTCTCGATCCTTTGAGTAACGTATTTCACATTTCTGTCTGGAATCTACCACAATTACTGAGATGCTTTGAAAGCTGATGAGCCTCTCTCTTTCAAGACCTGTAGGAAAAGGAATCATTTCCTTTTGAAAATCCAACAGGCAGGCTCAACATTTGGCAAACCTGCAAAAATGCTACTAAAAAGTAAGGTCAGCATTTTAGAAGCTTTCATGTTTGAATTTAAACATATTTGGGGGTGAGATAACATTAAAGATCTTTTTGTTTTTAAGTAAAGAAGTCTTAAAACTTTTGATTTTTGTTCATATTCACTTTAAATGAGCAAAAAAAAAAAGAAAAGGAAGTGTCTTTATACTAATACTGCTGGTATAAATTATTACCCACAAATAAAAATTCATAGGATCTGTCATAAGAAACAAGTGTAGCACCATCCGGAGCCCAGAACAGTTTATGTGCTTTAACTGGATCTTCTTGGGCTTTATGCTAGCTCACCGACTAACAGGAGCATCCAAACAAAGAAGCAGCCAAACCAAGCAACATTATTTAGACATTATGTCTACATGTAACTGAAGTAAGCTTTAAAATGTATCTGCTACAGCTACATTTGGCTCATCATTAATCCATAAAAACACAGCACAGATTAAATGGTTGGGGGATGGTCTGTCCTTACTCTCTGCTCACTGGGCAGTAATCCGTCCTACAGAAAGAATTTAAGAAAGGCTGTGAACTGCAAGAGGCCATTTGGTCCATCTAACCTGTCTACTAGCTTAGGAACTAAAGTGAATCTAAAATCTCCTGGCTAGGAAAGCCTGCTCCAATTACTCACAGTTCGTTGTGTTTCCTGACACGGAGCCCTTGTCCCTCTTCCACTCCCTCTGACTTGATGCTACCCGTCCCCATTAGGATTTTATACACTTGGAGCAAATCTCCCGGGTGCTAGACAGAAAAGATGTACCCTCTTCATCCTGGCCATGTATCACAACCTCCTCAGACCATGAATTACTGTCACTCTAGCTTGAACTCTGTTCATACAGGGGTACAATTCTGCGCACCATCCCTCGGTTTCACCGTTTTTATACCCCAGCATTCTGTTTACTTTCTGTCGTTTCTCCAAATTACTTTGGCATCCAAGCCACTTTTCATGTATAGCTTCCTGCAGGCCAAAACCATCAAGAACAGATTATGCTCCTGCTTTCGTGCGAGGATAACTTTGCATTTCTGAATGCTCATCTGACGTTCATCTGTCTGTTTTTGCTCTGTCCCTGGATTTGATCTTATTGCAGTTTCCTTACTTTTCTTTCCATTTCCCCCCTCTCCTTATTATGGCAATATACAGTAATGGCATGCCTCTTGCAGGTATGATCTGCAACATTAACCAAAGGAGCTAAACCTCCAATATAGATCAGGAAAGAGCCTAAAACTCGTCCTTGCAACACACTGTTTCCTGTTTCAGTACTCAGATTATGTCCACACATGGATTACTTTGGATTCCTAGATCTTTTAATCTGGCAATAGATCTTTTATAAAGGTCTGAATCAAAGGCTTTCTTGAAATCTAAATATAGCGTATTGTATATGCTTTAGTGTTAACAACTGTCTTTGTTGCCTGTTCGAAGAATTCTAGGAAGTTAAACAAAGCTAAAACGTCCGAAATCGGTGCAGGACGACCGCTCTTGCAACATGACAAAATAATACACGCTAAGAGCACTGAGCCTCTTCAATCAGTCCATTCCTAACCTGCCTTTAACTCCCCCAGTTTGCCTTTGTAGTTTTTAGACAAGACGCAATTTACATACTGTTACATTAACCCTTACCAAGAAAAGCGTATATTGTTCATGACAATAAATTAGAGATGATAAAATTACGCGTCCACATCATTTACGAACTTTTAACTTAGGAACTTGAACTTGAATATTTTTAAGGTGCTACAGAAATTTCAGATCCTGTAATATGGTCGTCACTGATCAAGCTTTTCTAATATGGCAACTGCTCTCGGGATTACTGGCGATTGACAGGACGGTAAATCCTATTGCAAATGGATAGTCCCCTGCAATACACACACATACAAACTACAGATGTATTATAACATTAACGTATAACACCGCAAAGACTAATTCAGGCCAATTCAGCGCATCTGTCATGTGCCATACAGCAAAAAAGGCGTGTTGTTCCATTTAATGAAACAAGCCTGAAACACGAAAACTACGGACCCCATTATAACAATATACGAGGTTACACAGTGTTTTTCTTTTTTGAAGTATGCTTTTTTTCCCCTACAGAGACCCAACACCGTGACTGCGAGAACAGCCATAAGATAACATCAAATAAATATCAGAATTTATCTTCAATTATCACCAGCATGTCTGCATTTTCTGTAGGTAGCGGTTAGTTAGCACACCCATCACGGAGGTGACCGTAAAAAAAAAAAAGCTAAAAGCTGTCATTCGGATATTTATAAACGCCGGTTATCGCGTAAATAAAAACTGAGTTTTGTCTTCGCAAGAGAGTACAACAATAGTAAAAAAAAAAAAGTCTTACCACAGTACGAGCCAAGTATACAATAACCGAAACAAAACAGACTCTCCTTATTCTTCCCTTTTCAGTACTGATACCACAACCAACCCTGTGAGTATTTACTGGCGTTGTGCTTATCCAATAGAAACGGTGAGAGTGTTCACGTGATCCGGAACTAACCAATCATTGCTGGGCAGGCGGGAGCAAACAACGCTCTTTACAGAGGTGGGCTATGAAACTGTTGTTCATATCGACGCCATATCTGACAGCAGATACATGAAAAATCAGGGAGAGCTGGCTCCCTAGGAGAGCCGAAATGGCGAGATTTTCTTCTGGCCAGAAACATTCAAGTTCAGCTGCACAGTACGGAAACGACGTTCCTCCCCGAGTATATAACCACGTGGTCAGTGGCAATCAGTGTGATATCACGTAGTGTAGTATTTCCGCACGTCGCGCGTCGTTTCTCAAAAAATATAAGTTTTATTTCTTTAATGCTTTATACATTTCAGTCATCAGCTAGATATAGCAAAAATGAAGAAGGGATTCTACCCTTTTTTAGAATGTATTTCTGATTTCTTCTAATTCTAGAACTTTTTTTCTCAAATTTCCAGAAAAATTCAAGTTTATAATAAGGTTATCCAGTGCCACATAATCATATGATTTTATGATTCGAATAAAATTATAGCATGAATATAATAACATATACAGCACACCTGTAGACAAATATTATTTCTTCAGCTTCTTCATTTGTGTCAACAGCTATAAACGTGAAAACTCTTTGTGGCCCAGTAGCTCTCCATGCCCTGACCTGAAACAGTGGTCTTCTTATTTATTTTATATTTAAGCTTCCTTTTTGTTATTTTGTCTATCAGTGATATACTGAGACACTGAAGTATACTGTAGTTTACCTGAGAATCGATAAAATGATTTTTCCTTCTTTGTGTGTCTGTTTTGTGCAGGGATCACCATTAGTTTTCACAGCTTAACCCCCTTACCCTGCCCCAAAAAATAAAATATGACCGCTTCATACTTAAATGTACATATGAATGGAAAACATAGGCCATATATGTATTTGCTTATCTAGGTCTTCCCGAATTAAATGTTTATAAAACTATCCCAATAGGCCTCTATATGCCTCATTTCAAGAGAGAGCTCTGGAGTATTAATATAGTCAAATGAACAGAGCAGTGAGTATGTCCAGGACGTACATTACTATAGGTGGCATTTAGACTTCACTTTAGCTTTCAATACTGTGTCAGTGTAAAGTATTTGATAGTTTATAATGACTTAGTTTTGGATTTTAATTAAACTCAATTAATTTTCATTGTGTCCAGATAGGGCAAACGTAAACAAACTGTAAATGTGGATACAGTGCATTCAATAGTCCATTAACGGCACTCAGCAATATCCCCTGAAGCAGCATGGCTATGTTAATGGACACAATCCACAGGGGTCAGCAAAGCAGACTTAAAGGAAATTAGATGTTTAGGGTATTTGGTTTCTGATCAATGCCAGCCTTTTCACAGAGGAAACAAGTGTGGGAGCTTCATGATTTAACACAGGATAGGCAAATTTG